GAAAAATGTGACTTAGGACTGTTATGACCTTTGCAATATCCCCATGATCATGTGATCAAAATTCAGACACTTGGCAACTGACTCATATTTATGACGGTTGCAGCATCCTGGGGTCACGTGATAACCTTTTGTGACCTTCTGACAAGCAAAGTCAATGGGGAAGTCAAATTCACTTAACAACCAGGTTACTAACTTATCAATTGCAGTGATTCACTTAACAACTATGGTAAGACAGGTCATAAAATTGGCAAAACTCACTTAACAAATGTTTTTACTTAACAACATAAATTTTGGGCTCAATTAAAATCATAAACCGAGGACTACCTGTATCTCCTGGGCCAGTCCACACCTTAACTACTGCACTCAATTTAATGCGTCCATGTATATCTAGCAAGCAGCAAAGTTAACAATATCAATTTTGGCCAAAGAAGGAAACAGGCCTAATTTGAGAGAAAAAAGAATTCTACAGGGGAAATCTTATTTAAAATCAAAAGGGAGCTGATTGCAAATCAAGAAATTGGGAAGGTAGATTTTCTCCTTCCTTATTTCTGTCTGAGTAAAATCACTAGCCATCCCGCTGAATCAAAGTTGAAACTAAAAGAAATACATGCTGGCATTCAGGCTATGGAAACTATTTCAGAAACAGGCAGGCACCATAGACTTTGCACAAAAGAGCACCACACCAGCAGAAGCAAAAAATCGGGCCCTGAGTCTTCCACGGCAATTTCTTCCTCCAACTTTTCTACAGCCATTCTTCAATGGCCCTTAGATTCAGAATACCTCTCTCACTCTGGCAACTGACTGTGTGTTCCTGAATTGCCTGTTGCTTTGCTCTAACACTTCATGCATCTCCACCAAACCTAAGCCAAGACCAGGAATATGACCCAATGTTTCTGCTGTCCTGAGGAGCACTCAAAAGCTAACACTCCAATTGCAAGAGACAAGACAACTTCCAGTCACATCACTTCAAAAAAAAACCATTCAAAATGCTTTCTACCTGAAACAATTGTTTTGTGGTTTATCCAAAATACAGTATGTGATTTTTTTCCCAATGCACAAATTACACTAAACAGCTGCTTCATGCTCAAAGCAGCTCAGGCTTGAAATGTCTTGCACGCAACTTTAACCAAAGCCAAACAAACCACGTTATAGCTTAGTGTGATCTGTAATTTCGGTGTTTGCTTTCCTCCTTCTAACTGACCTTTCCATATATTATAAAAAAGTGGTAATCATTCAAATGAGTTTGTTCTTCTGTTTTTTATTATTGAGTATCTATAAATCACTCGACTGTCCACTGAGATTTTCTTCTGTAATAAATTACATAAAATGAAAGGCAATGGCTTTAAAACAAACATAAAAAGTGGAACAAAACAATATTAACATTAATCATTGTTCATCAAAGTGAAAGAATATGATTTTTCTGCACTTCTACATTGCAGCAAGTCAAGAGTCACAGTTTCCACAGCAAAGTTTCTTTACACTCATTGACCTAATCTTGTGATAGGTTGTAGCTCAGCATGTATGAGAAAAAAGGGATATAAATGTATATTTATAGATGAGATAACATATTTGTTGATATTCTATCACTAACCTGTTTAGGATTTCCAAAACAAGAATAGAGACCTAGGTTCAGAAACTAAAGGGAAGCAAGTATAGTTGGTTTCAGACTGTCCCAAAGATGCTTTTTTAAGAGGCAATTGGACTTTCTTGCTTTTTCTTTGAAGATGTTTCACTTTTCATCCAAGAAGCTTCTTCAGCTCTGATAGGATAGTGGGGAATGGAAGGATTTATATTCCTTGCAGACAGCTGGTCATTTGCATCCTTTTAGAGGATGAAGCACTTGGACATCTGTGTCCTCAGGGTCACCTGAGTACTGCTCCTGAAATATTTCCTCCTGAAATATTTCCTCTGGAAATCCAGTCCCATTCCCACATTTTTCCAAGGATTCATTGCAAATTGTATAGCTAAAAGAGAAGATGCTTCTTGGATGATAAGTGAAATGTCTTCAAAGAAAAAACAAGAAAGCCCAGTTGCCTTCTGAAAAAGCACTTTTGGGATAACCATGACCTGGATGACTGAGAATCTCTACAGACTTTTAGTTCCAGACTGGTGATATTTTTTTCTCTAAACCTCATATCCAATAGGATCATCGTTTGTTATCCTACATGTATTATACTTTCTCAGCGCAACATGTTACAATGATCTAAATGAGAGGCATTGAAGACATCAGTCACTATGGCTACCTTCTCTTTTCCAGAGGGTGCTGCTGCCTAGTTAGCCAAAACTATTCACAGTGCTCCTGGCTGCAGCAATTACTTGGTGTCTGCCAGAAAGTTTGATTGGCTCAAGAGATCTTTGAAATAACGCCTGATCTTGCAACTTCATACAGTGCCAGCTCCATCTACAAACTTCAGCTGTGATCTGAACTGAAACTCTGTTTCTCCCTAATCCTTCACTGTGACCAGAATCAGGCTTTCTATAAATTCCAAATCACCAATAAAACTACTAAGTATTATTGCCATAGAAACAAGATGCCAGAGCAGAGTTCTGGATCGCCTCTCCTCCTTCCCCCAAGAGAAAAGACAATACGGAACTGTGAACAGCTCCATGAACAAGGACCTGAGGCTAAGCAATAATCTCATAAGATTATCTTCTGGGACTTTTAGGTCAGAGGCACTACAATTGGCATCAAAAGACCCATCCCAGAAAGGTACTATGATCTAGAACAGTGGTTCCCAATGTGGGGCCCAGGCCACTCAGGGGGGCAATTTGATTTTTAATGGGGGCAATTTGAACCTTGGTTTAAACCAAGTTAATGGCCTTTTAGGCTTCTTCTGCATGAGTAGAGTTCACTTTTTGAATAAAGTAAGAATTATATATCACAGGAGGGGGGGGCATCAGGATTTTAAAGATGTTTAGGTGGGGCATGGCCAAAAAAAGGTTGGGAACCACTGATTTAGAACAATGTCTTTTTAAAAAAAAATGCAAAGTGGCCAGATGTAAAGTCAAATAATGAATGAGGGCCATAGGCATATATATCTCATTGCGCAGATAAAGATCTGGTGCTCTCTGAGCTCGGTTGCTTTCCTGCATATATTTCATTACTAGGTAACATCATTGGTGCATGATCTCTTAATTCCAGAAAGGAAAGACTAGGTTTCAGCTCTACCAAATCACTGTTTAGCCAACTAGGAGTATGATAATGCTGTGTATGTGAGAGTAGGAAAGGAGCTTCCTCCCCCAGCAGATTATAACAGCAAGAGCAATAGCTTATTTGAGACACATTTCAAGCAATATCTTCTCCTTTCTCTACTCGGTTATACTCTCCTCACTAAGGACACATCCACTGAGGGACTCTGCCGACCTTAAAGCAGCTCCAGAGCTCTGGATTCCAACAGGGTGAGCAGTGCTGTGGGAGAGGTGAGCCCATTCATTTCTAGCTGGCTTTAACGATGCTGTAGCTGGTTTTAATGATACTGCAGCTCTACTTCCCATGAAAGCAAAATCTCACTTACCCTTTCTATGGGTCATTTGCATTAGGATCTGAAAAGATGTTGCTAGTTTGACAGTTGTGCATCTCGCTTTCAGTAACCCAAACAAAACAAGCAAAACTAAACAGTTCTCCCTGGTTTTTCTTTTTTTTTATTTCCTCTCTTTCTTTTGGATTTTGGCAATGAGTTTTTGTATCTGCTGCATCTGCAGAAGCTCAAAGCAAGACAGTGATCTTTTCGATTGGTTCTCAGTATTACAAACAGATGTTGTGTTAGGTTGTGGCTGAGTGAAGGATGGAAGTTCATCATAAGTTCCTAGAGCTTGGCTCAATGGCTCATCCCCTGACTCCCCTCTTTCAAACAAATTCCAGTTAATATTCAAAGAGGAAAAGCTAAGCCTCTCTTCCCTTTTCCTTTTAATAAAGCACTGCAAATGGCCTCTCCTTAAAAAAAGACCCATAAAGGCTACAGATTCCGATTCCTACAATACTATATGCTGTTTAGCAGTCCAGGAACATAGTTATCTGCCCCACCTCACACCATAGCTGACTCACAAAAGGTGGACTTTCTTCCAATTTTGTTTGGCAACAAATAGGAATTCATGCAAGAAAAACTCAGACTGGTCCTACTGCTACTAATGTTTGGCTGTTATTGCTCTTGCCTATCAGATGGGGAAAATAATGACCTCCCGTTTAAAAACAAATCACATTTACATACTACTGTGATACAGTGAATACAAAACTGTCATTTTAGTTAATCCTTGCTTACTTTGGCCCTCATCCATGAGGTAAATAATTTTCCTCCCAGACTTTGGAATAAAATAAGTAATCTGGAACCAGCTCTTTCAATGGAGCTGCTGCTGTGAAAGAGAAATGGATGGAGACTAACTAAGGAGAGAAGCAACCTAGAACTAAGAAGGAATTATCTGACAGAACAATTAATCAGTGGAACAACTCGTCTTTAGAAGTTATGAATGCTCCAACACTGGAAATTTTAAAGAAGAGATTGACCAACCATTTGTCTGAAATGGTATATAGGATTTCCTACCTAAGCAGGGGTTGGACTAAAAGACATTCTAGGTCCCTCCCAATTCTTCTCAACCCTACTCTACTCTACTCTATTCTATTCACAGAGCTTTAGTCTAATTTAGCAGCTCTTCAAGGAGCAATGAAGAACCAGTCGCCCTCTAGATAAGGCTGAACAATGATTCCCACACTCACTCTTTCCCACACTGACTGGTTTGCCACTGAACAACTTCTGGAAGTCCATAGGATTTCCCAGTCTGGAAATATAGACTAAAAGTCTTTGACAACATTCAGTTGCATTTTTTTAGAGTGGGGGGGGAGGAGACCTGCAGAAACCTCTTTCCATCTAACAGAGAATTTCTCCTACTAACAGCAACCGCAAAAGAAAATGAAGGGTAACAAAGAAAGAATCCATAAAACTTCCTGCAATTATCAGTCGATAGAAAGATAGAAATTCAACATGTCTCCACTGAATATTCCTTACCAGCACATGTCCAACTTTGTTTCTTTCTGATTCCATTACCCTCCTGCCAGGGATTGGCAGCTTGTTAAAGAACCGGTCCCTCTTGCTTCTCCATGGATCATCAAAATGTCACCAATATTAGCCAGTTCATTTCTACAAGAAAGCAATAGCCAAGTTAATATCCGTGCGTTTTTACTGCAATTATGCAATATTTATCCTTTCTTATTATACGACCAAAACATTTTCGTACATTCAAGACATGACCTTTTATTTTATTACAGTTTTGCAATATGAAGTATGAAACCTACTGATTGGCAAACTCAGTATTGCCAATGGAATTCACATGTTCATTATATGGGGCATATCAAACACAAGCCGCAACTGCTGATGAAACAAAGCAATGAAACAAGTATGCACAATGAATGTTCAAGTTCAATAGCTCTTCCTCGCGCTCTCTTAGACCTTGTACTGGATCCCATCCATCTATCCCACTTTAGTGCTCGATACAAGGCAGAGCAGCTCTGCAAAAGCAGTCTATCTTTAATAACCTATCTTACCATTATTTTTCTTTGCACTGGGAACACCAGGGGAAGGAGAAGAAATACACATAGAAGCACTTTCACTATGGCTGTGCTTGGCTTAAGATTGCTAAACACTGTGGGTCCTTTAATTTTATTCTGACCTTTGCATCAGTCCTTAACTCTTAGGAATTGTATTTTGCTCTCATGATCTTCAGTTCTCTTCTTTCCACTCCAGAGGTGACACAATCTTACCTTTCCAGGACAGCCTCTAAATACATTTCTTTCCGCATTTAAAATAAACCGCCACTATTTACATCTTTTGAATGTCATCTGTTTTTCTTCTTCTGCTGCTGCTGCTGCTGCTGCAATATGTATACAGTATATATACTGTATCTGTCTGTGAATGAACACTACTCAATGGTGCTGAAATAACTCAGGAAGACACTTAAGAGGTTCTCTAATTACGTCAGAGGGGTGAGATTTTTTTTTTGTAGCATCTGAGCCATGCCTTGTCAATGCAATTATAAATGAAATAATAAAGCAATCCTCTGACCTGCTAAGATACTACAGAAGGACATAGACTCAAAATGAGGCAAAGTTCCAAGTTGTTTTGTGTTCCTCTTTACAGACTTTCTGCTTACACAAAATAGAAAGATACTGCAGCAACACTTAGAAAAAACAAAGCTGAAGAAAATGCTTATTTTCATCTCATTCAGTGCCTTCAGCATCTTATATTCAGGTTTTCGTCTGGTATGAATTGCTTTCCTGAGGTAGTTTCCCTTTACTGTCCTATTTTTTCCAACAGGTTGATGCAGCAAGAGAAGGATGTTGGTTGCCTATTCTAATGAGCTACACTGGTACTTTATTTAGAGATGGGCTATCTGGAGGAATTTTTGGAACCTTAACCTCCTCCATATGCAATGGCTTACAACTCCCAACATCCTGTTTGTCTGAAGATGATGGGACTTCAGCCTCTTCTGAATATGAAACGTGTAGGTTACAAGAGAGGGCTACAAACATCTAGATACCACTCAATGTTAAAGAAGTGGACAAGAAAAGTCTACAGTCTTTGCTGTTGTTTGGTGCATTTTGATTTCAGCAGTCCACATCAGGTAGCCTAACAGATATGCCTTATGGGGCTTATGGGGAGGGAAATTTCTCACCTGCACACGGATGAGGGCCAAATTATCTCAGCCTATCCTTGAGGTAGGAAATACCTTCCCCAAATGGCTAAACGTTTAAATGTCTTAGAATCCCCGGTATCTGACATTCTTCAGATCTCAAACTATCTGGAAGTAGAAGACTTCATTTCAATCCTTTTTGCTTTTGTAAATTGTAGAATCAGGTACCGCTAAAGAAAAGCGTACCTCTGAACGCATGCAGAGTATTTGCTCACCACGAGGTAAACAAAATAAATAGGCATTTCCACTGCGGTGCGAGAAATCGCTAGCTACTTTTGGGTGGAGGGGAGAGATAACGGAGGACAATGATTATTAATAAAGCAACTGATTAGACGTAGCGAACCGTAGAGCAATATTCCCTTTGATCGACCGAGAAGGCATTCCGAATCGGTTATCTTACCACTGCAGGGAGAGAAGTCCGGGCGCCCCCATTCAAAGCACGGCTGACCACTTAGCGGCGGCTGGCTGCATTTTGTCTCCGGCGCCTCATAAGTAGCGGTCGCATTAGGAAGGAGCACTCTACCTTAGCCGGTTTGCTCCCGCGTCTTTCTTTTCTTTTCTTTTCTTTTCTTTTTTGGCGTCTCGTCCCTTAGCAAGTGTCGTGTGAGTCTTGGCGCTGCTTGGCAAAGTTACCGTCCCGAGAGGAGCGAGCGAAGAGCGAGGAAGACGGGGACACCACCACCCCCAACACACACACTCGATCGAGCAGCCGGCTCCCTCAGTCAGCCCAGCTTGCCGGCTTCGATCTCTCCTAGCTGCTCGGCTTCTCTCCGGGAGGAAACGCCGCGCGCTCTGCCTGCTTTTTCGCCCCGCGCGGCCAATCACTGCGCGCTCGCTTGCAGCCGGGAGCCTTCCTCCGCTCCAGAAGGAAAGAGGCGGAGGAGGAGGAGGAAAAAAAGAAAGAAGGCGAAGAAGCGGGAGGCAAAAGGGCTCTGGTCGCCCGGCTGTTCTCAGCCCCTGGAGTCGAGCGCGCCGACCCTCCCGCCGTGCTTTGTGGTGCCTCCGGTGCTGCTCGGTCTCTGATGAATCCTTATCCCTCTGCGGAGCGCCCTCCTCGCCCGCCAACACCTAGCCGACGGCGGGCTGGCTGGGCAGGGCTGGCGCAAAAGGGCTGAGCGCTCTTCGGTTCCCTTTCCCGCCAACGCTGCTCCCAAATTAACCGGAGTTACCCGCTGTAGTGCAGTAGGCTATGGTAAGAAAGGCAACAGGTGCGACTTCTTGGACTCGCCCTTCGCAGCTCGGGTCCCAGGCGGGTTTACTCCAAAGCTTCGCGCTCGCTCGCTCTCTGGCTCTCTCTGACTCTCTCTAACCTGAGCAAAAACAACAACAACAAGGGCAGTGTGAAAGTGAAATGGGCAGCTCAAAAAAGTAACTGCCCTGAATTCATAGCCTATGAAAGGGAGGAAAGTGGGGAAAGGAAACACCTGTGTCCTTCCAGGTGTTGGGCAAGCCTAACTTGCAGTTTTCTGAGCTGACCTCACTGGGAGTTGTGGTTCAGCTACATGTAACAAGGCTGTCTCACGCAAAGACACACGCAAAGTGCTGGAAAAAGCTAGTTCATAATTCAGC